CCGCGAACGCCTGGCAGACCTGGAGGAAGCCACACCTTCCCTAGCTCAGCCGTGCTCTTAAGATTTGATTAAAGATGTTTTAATTAAGCAAACATTTTAATTAAGATCTTCAGAGAGGTGACTGAGAGTTCATCGCCAGTATGGCTGAAGGCTGCTTGGCTAGGGTGAGCTTCAGCTACTGGCGCGGACAGAGAAGACCCAAAACAAGCCCAGCCTGGGTCCAGCCTGGGACGGCGCCTTGGGAATCTCCCTCCCACGCGAGGCTCGCATAGGAGGCGAGGCCCTGCCCTGCAGTCTCGGGTGCACATCCCCTTGCAACTTGCGGGGAGGGAGAACACCCCTCCAAGCACACACAGCCCGGAGGTGGGACCCCGTCACTGTACCCACGCCTGGCAGTCAGGACTCTGATGGGCGGCCACCCTTAGCCACGAGGAGTTGGGGGGCTAAGCTTTCATCAGCAGCTGCAGCTGCTAAAGTTCCAGTCCCCAGGAGGGGGGACCTGGCTCGGGGCTACTCTCAGCCCAAGGCCTCTGCAGAAAGGCCATTGCCCCAGCCGGGGTGCCGTGAGCAGCCCCCCACCTGAGACCACTGTGCCCGGCGAGACCTGGAACTCTGACGGTGGCCCACAAACCCAACTGCGCAGCAGGCACAGCCTCGAGGCTGTAGATAGAACCGTGGATGCGTCTCCAGCTTCCAAAGCCACGTGACTCATGGTGGTCCATGAGACGGACACTCGGTTTACAGTGTGACCAAGTTCACGCAGCATTTAATATACTGGATTTAATGAAGACACTAAGGCACAACTGCTACCCTGTGGGAGATCCCTAAAAAAAGTTTACCCTTGGACGAAGTGCTCCTTGTCAGGAAGCTCAGGCCCCTGTGGAGTAGGGGAAAGAAAATGGACTGAGCTTTAGACAAAAAAACTGGACTCCCATAGACAGACTGCCTGTCTTCTGGACCCTCATTTCTTCTGTCAAAGGAAGATAATGAACACCAGCTCTAGGGTTATGGAAAGGGTTAAATGAAATTCCGTACTGACACTAATAGTAGTATGTGTGTGCACACGTATGTGGCATGTCATTGACCCATCAGAGGTGCTAATGAGTGTTGCCCTCCTTCCCCCAAGGTGGAGGAGAGTGACATGGGTTGGACTCGATAATCAGATTTACGGGATCAAGCGAGCACTATGATACAATACGTATTGTGGCTTGCGGCCTGTTATCCCCCCATGCAGGAAAAGCAGGACGGAGCAGCCATCCAGGCCGCAGGCATGTGAGGTGGAGGGACACAGACCGAGCATGACAAGCTGGTTGCTGCTCTGGTTCTTCTGCTGATTTCGCCTGCAGCAAACTTCAGGAACCTTCTAAATCCACCACAGTCCCCACCACCATGCCGGTTCATCTCAGAGTGACCGGATAAGCAACAATGAAATCTTTCCAACTAACAGGAAGTACAAAATTATCTCTGTGGTAGAAAACCTATACTTTTGTAGAGGGGGTGAACTCTTTGCCCACAGAAAGCAAGGACGTAAAGGTAAGTCAATCGGGTGTGACTGTGCAGTTGCCTCGAGGACAATGCCTGGCATCTGCATGGTGCGTCACCATCTTCAAGTTCTTGTCATGTAACTCCACACAATCCTGACGCGAGTCCATGAAGCAAGCAGTGTAGAGTTACTTTTTGAAGACGAGAAAACAAGTTCATATTGAGTAAAAGTTTGGGCCAAGGTTGTGGGGTCCACCTGGGGCCAGAGTCCAAATCACCGGGGAAATTTGGTGACCATGTGGCCAGGAATCGGTGTTCCAGGGCACGCGTGGAAGTCTGAAGGAGCTACATCAGCCCCCCGAGTGAGCTCGGGAGCCAGAGCAGGTCACGTTCTTTTAAACAGGGGTATGTGAGTGTGTTGGCAGATGTAGAGGTTTCGTGGTAACGGGTAAATGAAGAGAAAAGGCTATTCCACTTCCTAGTGGAGCGTGTAATCACGCTATTACATTTGTTACTTCACCTGAAGCTGGTCCGCTGAGTGGTGTCTCTCAGGCCACGGTGCGCCGGCTGCAGACAGGTCTCTGTCCCCACCTGCAGCTATCAAAGCCCCCACTTTCGTCCTGCTGGGCTTCCTTCAAGGTGGCGGACCACAGGGGTTTCCTCTCACCCAAGAGGACTGATGTTGTGAGAGTTTCTTCAGCTCCTCGAGGAACTGAAAACCTTGCAGGATTTTCCCTGTCTAGTCTGTGCCATGAAGAAGGGGTTCTGCTGAAAGGGAACTTTAATTAAGTTTAAGTTCTTGTTGTTTCTACCACAGTAGACCTTGGACATTAGCAAGAATCTCCACATTGCAGTCTAGGCTATTACTTCTCCCGCAAAATGCAGCAAACTATAAGTTAAAAAAAAAATTGAAGTGGTCCCTTCAAGTCCTTAGTGACTTTGAAAACAAGGCACTGGAGTCTTCTGACATGCTAATTGCAAGAAAATTGCTTCTGGGTCTTATTTCTACTGAGAACCATGTCTTTGGTCACTGCCTCCCCAGCTTGCGCAGGAGCCACGGCTATTTGCTGATAAGCAATTCCGGCCTTCCTTGGGAAGTGTTAGGAATCTCCCAGTTCTTGCTAGGAGTCTATGAGTTACAAACCCCTGTCAGAATAAAAACACTTCTGGAACAAGGGTGCACCAAGCTGCTACATTAGTGGACAGCCTGGGGGCCTCAACGGTGCACCCTCCACCCCCAATTCGTATGTTGAAGCCCTAACCTCCAGTAACTCACAGTGTGCCCGTATTTGGAGAGAGACTTCAAGGACTAAGATTAAAGGCGATCGTTCAGAGAAGCCCTAACCCAATAGAACTGGGGTTTCTAAGAACAAACACACACACAGGAAAGATGGCATGAAAGACCCAAGGAGAAGGCGGCATCCATGAAGCAAGGGCGATGCCTCCTGAGAAACCGCCCCTGCCGACCCCTTCGTCTCACACTTCGGCCTCCAGGCTTCGAGAGAATAAATTCCTGTTAAGTCCCCCATCTACGGTGGACGAGCAGATTAACATAGGTAGCAAGACACAAATTTCAAAAGGGACTGAGCCACAGTTGAGCCAAATGTGGTTGGTTCTTTTAAACCGTGGAGCTTCTTTTAATGGCACACTACCCCTGGGGTTCGGAGGCCAGACAAGGGACCTAATGAACTGAGCTACGCTGGTAAAAATGCAATAAATAGATAAGAAGTCACGAGAACGAAGAACAGAGACGTGGCCGACCCGCTTCAAAACTCTGCCAGGACTGAGCACAAGGTGGCTGTACCAGGACCGAAGGCGGGCTCCAGACAAAGGCCACGCCCAGCCTCCAGGCCTGTGCGGAGCCGGGCCCTACGTGGCACAGGCCTGTGCGGAGCCGGGCCCTACGTGGCTTCCTGCCTCCTGAGGTGCGAATCCGCTGAGGGTCTCAGAACTCTCATTTGATTTGATTTCTTTGAATTCGGTAAATGAGAATATTCATATATTTGGGCCATCCACAATGGTGGCCAGGCATTTTATCTGAAGGCACACACAAGCAGAAATCCCGCGCGGGCATCCTGCTGTGCCCCCGGCCTTAACTGCTGACTGGCTGCTCCTTGTGATCAAAGACTCACCCGCATGAGCTCCCAGCCTGGACCACCTCGCTTGTGACGCTCGCCCGTCAGAGCTCCCTGCTGGGCCACGGCTAAGGTATTAGGCCTGGGGATCTTGTGAGCGATGACAGTCCAGTTGTCCAAACTGGCTGACGTCGGACCTTCTAGGACAGCTCTTTCCCTGCCAGTCCCCCCTCGCCTTCCCCACACCTCATTGCTCTCAGCTGAGAGTCACGCCCCTGCAGCCCCCATCAAACCGGACTCGTTCCCCAGGAAGCCAGCCCCCGGTCCCCTTCCAAGGTGATCACCCTGGTGGTCTAACCTGGAGAGCAGGTCAGCCTTGCCCTGCCTGAGTTTATCCTGCCACTATTCTTGCCTTAGGCCTGACCTTTCCCCTCTGGCAAGTCACCCTGGCTTGGGATGCTTCTAAGTACCAGAACTCTGGACCCACCTGCCAGGCTGCTGGGTCATGTTAGGACGCCCCACAAAGCCCAATGCACGTCTGGAAACACATCGTTCATCAGGAAGCAGCCACGCGGCGCAGCGGCCACACAACCTGACGCCAGGGGGAAGATTTGTATTCAGCAGCCCGACTGCTGAACGCACGGGGTTTGTGAAAATCCCGCCTATTCCATTGGGCTTTTCCGTTCCTAAGCCTTGTAATATCAGACCATCGCACCGGCAGAGCGAGGCTGGCAAGGCTGTTAGGAAGAAATGTGGAAATTGCTCATTATGGAATATTACAATGATACTTGCCAACGCGGGATTTCTGCGTGTGTGTGCGTGCAAACACCGTGGCTGGCCACCATTGTTGATGGGCCAAACGTTAGTATTTGTACTTACCGAATTCCAAAGAAGACAAATGAAATATTTAAATAATCCAAGCACCGCGGCCCCGCTGAATACTGCCTTTTACCTTTATAGGCTCGGTTTTTTTTTTTTTTAATCACCGATAGACATTAAAAAATATATATAAAACAGCCTGATAATGTCAAAAAATGAGAAAGGCTAAATTCAGGAAAATAAAGGAACCATAAATCAGGAAAACTTTGGAGCTGCTAGAAAGACACTTTAATTTGGGAGACAAAAGACTGCATGAAGGAGGAATAACGCGACAACCAAAGGTGACCGGGTCTCTATTGTCTGCATCCTTCTCTGTGGGAATGTTCCCAGCCCTGACAGCTGTACGGGGGGGGGGGGGGGGGGGGGGGGGGGGGGGCGCGGCTGCGGCTGGGCTTTATTCTCTCAGCCTTTTCTCCCCAGCCCCCCCTTCTCCGTCAATAAAAGTCTGCAATCATATTCTCGAGCTCCTGTGTGATTTCAAGGTTCATCTCTTCCATGCAGCTCAAACACTAATTATCCCAGCTGTAATTAGTAAGATAATTAAATACTGGCTCACTCATCTACCTTGGGTAGGGTCATGGTTCTCCCAGAAGACCTTGAGCAGCTCCTCGAAGCTGATGCGCTCTGGCTGGAACACCACTCGGACGACTTCTGCGTGGCCGGTTTTTCCTTGAAAGAAGCAGAACATACAACCAAAATGTACCGACAACACCCAGGCATGCCACGCTATTTGTGTAAAAAAGCCACTAGGCAGAAGCTGACATTCCTCCCTCTGGAGGAGAGCGGGGAACTTGGGCTAACGGGGAGTCCTGAGTCTCCAAGGAGTCAGGCTCCCCCTCCCGGAGTGCGCAGGGTGGGCCCTTCTCCCCCAGTGAGCTTCCTGCAGCGGGAACTTCTTCATTGTGCTCTCATTTTTTTTTTTAAGTTCAAGAGAAAACAGACTCAGTTTTCATTTTTCAAATCTCATGCTTATGAAACCCTACTGATGCAGCCTGCCACGGAGCTGGAGATTTGAAACTCTGCAAAGGGGAATGAGCCAGTTTACTTTTATCTTCACCCCGTTCCCTATGGAGGAGGCACAGCTGCATGACAGGGTGACGGTGCCGGAGAGAGAGACCTGTAAAGTCAGCCGGCACCGCCTTCTCATTGGGTCACTTCATTCCCGAGGGATGTATTTGCTAATACTGAGCCAGGGTCAGGTTCCTACACCCAGCAGGACAGTAAATGTTTTCTCAGCCTGGTTGGTCCCTGTAGTGAACAACCACCAGAGCAAGGTCCTCAGCAGCACCACTGCGAGCGTGCCTGCTCTCAAAGGTGGTCCTGGAGGTGGGTCAGGGACGTGGGTATATGCAGTACCCTTGGGACCTATGGAATGCCCACCCTTCTTACTCTACGGTGTTTAAATGTAGTAAACAGAGAACCCCTCTATACTGACATCTCTAAATTTGCTTTCCATCTCTTTTCAGTCACTTTGTATGTGGGCAAAATTTGGGCATGCCCAAAGAGAGATCTGGCCTTTGTCATGGCCTCTGGAACATAACCTGTGTCATAGCTGATAGGACTGTCCCTGTTTCAGGTGGGGCTGGCCACACTGGAACATGGGGTAGGGTGGCAAGGCTATGCCGCAAAGATGAACCGAGTGACTTGGGGTGAGGGCCTAGAGACAGAGTTCAAACACAAAGTCATTCAATCAGAAAGTGATGCCTACATAATCGAGCCCTAATAGAAACTCTGGACACCAAAGCTTGGGTGAGACAGGAGGGCAACACATCCTCTATGCGGGATGAGATAAGTGCAGCTTGGCATTGGAACCCTTCTAGAACCTGCCCTCTGCGTCTCTTCTGGCTGATTTTGATCTGTATTCTTTCTCTGTAATAAACCATAGCCATGAGCTTAATTCCTCTCAGTGAGTCCTGTGAGTCCTTCCAGCAAATTATCAAACCTGCTGGTGGGATTAAGATCCCCCAAATTTACACCTTACTTTGCAAAAGTGTTTTCTCATATGTTGGTTATTTCACTTTAATTCTCACAACCAACCAATGGTGTAGGCAGGAAATTCCATTTTACAAATGGGAAAACTGAGATATATGTACATTAGATTTTCCCAAGGCCATAAAACTAGTGAATTTCTGGAATATAACCTAAAAAAAAAGCTTCCTGGCTCCTCATCTAGAATTCTGTCCAAGACACCAAAGAGAGAAAGGTAAACATTTGGAACGTGAATCCAGGAAAGGAAAGAAATCTATTTATTATCTTTGTCTTTTTTATAGTTAAATTTCTTTCTGACTGCAGAAATAATACTCACAGACATTATGAAGCTTAGAGAATGTGTGGAAGTATAAAAAAAATCACTTACACTCCTCCCATGAAGTGCTAGCAATATATATTTAATGCATCTCTTCTTGGATATGTATCAGACCCACACGTGTACACACCAGGCCCTACCCACTTTGCTCTACTGTTGCCAACGCACCGTGCTTTTCCCACTTAACAGCATAGTGTGAGCACCTTCCCAAGTCACTGAACTTTGAGAGAATACCAGTGACAGTGACCGCGTAGCGAGACAGAGATGGCTGTGCAGATGTCTGTGGTATTACTCAGCCATTCCCTGCCACTGGGCAATTAGATCGAACCCTAGTTTTATCAATAAATGTAAATGTTTTTCTCTGTTTCTGAGCTTGCCTCAAGCCAGTTACATAACTGGAATTTCTAAATCAATTTGCTTAAACATTTTTTAGTTTCTTAATACCTAGTGTCAAGCTGCTTTTTAGTAAAGTTGACCCAATTTTCTCTCTCCACTGGCAGCAGATTTGAGGGTCAGTTTTAGTTATTAGTAGATTGTCTTTAATCCTTATCAATTTATAGCTAGAAGATAGTACCCTATTGTTTTATTTTCAATTAATTTCAATTAATTTAATCATTGGTGAGGCTTTAATATTCATGTTTATTACTTATTCTTATTTTTCTCTTTTAATTTTGTGATGTCCTTGTTTTGATTTAATTGATCACGCTACATCATCTTAATTCAAATCTTATAGCCATGTAAGTTGGCATCTAAGTAGGTTTCCTGCTAACAGTTATGAAAGGCCGATGCAGGCACCAGGGGCAGAAGATACATTCAGCACAGAGATCATGTCCTCACAAAACCACTTTTGATTTACTTTGAAATCTGATTTATATTCTGAAAAGCTTAAGTGAATGACTTAACTACATTAAGCAGGAAAATCCTCTGGATATTAAAAACGGCCACAATATGGTACAAGCATGCTAGATGCATGTGGTAAGGAAAGCACAGACACCACACTAGACAAATGGGCAAGGACGTCACCGGGCGGCACAGACGGGGAGAGGCAAGTGCAAGTAAGACGTGAAGACCACGCAACAGTTCAAATGATGAAATAAAAGCAACTACAGGTATGTTAAAACATTAACAAACTGTATCCAACTTTTCACAATTTGCAAAACCGCTCACAGCATGGCTGGGGCAGAGAGGACGGCCGCCACCCTGACCTGGCTGGTGACAGCATAACTGACCACACCCTTTTGCTCCCCACTGGCATAAAGAGCAAAGGTGAAGATTAGGTTAATTCACTTAAATGACCCAGAAAATTATCTCAAACACATACCCCCAAATAACGGAAAAGAGGGGTAATCTCTATGAACATGTCACTCCATCACGACGCCAGGCAGAAACAAGCCGTGTACGCCGGCCGCTGAACCACCCTGTCATTAAAATGAAACATCCCAGGGCCTCCCCGGTGGCGCAGCGGTTGAGCGCTGGGTTGCGAAGCTGCCCGCGGTCTCTGCAGCGCCGGTTCGATCCCCGGCTGCTCCCCGGCCACCGGAGGAGGGTCCCCCATGGCGCGCAGACCTCTCCTGCCGCCCGCTGCTCCCCTCAGCAGTGTACTTCGGTCCTTCTGCCTGCTCTGCTCCCCACTCTGGCTCTGGTGGATTCTCTCACCCTCCCGTGCTTCTGACTGTACCTAGTGCTTGTATACATAAATAAAAATAAATCTTTTTTAAAAAATTAATAAAATAAAATAAAACGTAATGTCCCAATGCCAGTTAAAGCTGCAACTGGTTTCTGAACACTGACAAGAACATAGACACATTATCTACTAGATGTTCTTCGATACTCACAAGCTTTTAATTTTTCTCTAAATGCACAGAACATACAATTTACTCTCTTAACCTCTTTTGCGCTTACAGTGCCTTCGGTGCATTCACACTGTGGTGCGACCACCGGGGCCCACCACCCACCCACAGGACTCTCATCTTCCCAACCGGAAACTGTCCTCATCAAACATTAACTCCCCATTTCTCCCTTTCCCCAGCCTCTGGAAAACACCATTCCACCTTCTGTCTTTGTGAATTCCACGACTCTGGGTGCCTCATGAAAATGGAATCCGGTACTCATCCTTTGGTGACGGACTGATTTCACTTAGCTGCATGCCCTGGGGCTCGCCCGTGTTGAAGGTGCCTTTTGTAAGGCGGAAAAATATTCCATTATGTGGACAGACCACATTTTGTTTCTCCATTCTCCTGTGGATGGACTGGGTTGCCTCCACCTTTTGGCTGCTGTGAATAAAGTTGCTATATAACCAAGCCACACACATATTGCTCACAACAATTTTACCAGAAGGATGGGATCCCATTTTCAAGAGGAGAAAACTCAGGCCTCCACAAGTTTTCTCACACACCATTCCACAGCCAGTAAGTGGCCAGATCCAGTGAAAACTTGACCAGATTCTTATTGTTAATTTACTTATGCATACAAGAGCCGGGGTACAGGCCAGAGGTGTGGGGGTGAGAGGGCTCACCAGAGACAGAGTGGGGAGCAGAAGAGGCGGATCTTTTGAAACGCACTGCTGAGGGGAGCAGCGGGGAGACAGGAGAGGTCTGTTGTGCCACGTGGTTCAGCTCCCTGGCTGGGGATCGAACTTGTGCTGCAGTGGCTGCAGACAGCTTCATAGTGCTGAGACATCAACCCCTTGTGCCACCAGGGAGGCCCAAAAGTTGACCAGATTCTAACCAGCGGTGAAACTCGGGTTCACCCAATGACCCTGAACTAAGCTCCCGCAGGTGGACAGCTGAAGGCAGCAAGGGACAGCGTGTCATGTGGGCAGCGCCCCAGGAGACATCACGGCTGTGGGTCCCCGGCACCCAGGCTGTCCACAGCCCTGCCCAGCAGTTTCTTCTCCCAGTACAGCAATGTGGTTCACGAGAGCGCTGCACGCAGCAGCAAGCACTTCAGACAGCGTCTGGGCACGGACATTATCCTCAGACGGGCTTAAAGAAGCTCGGCTGTTTCAGGAAACTCCCACCATTAACATTCCAGACGCATCTGCAACGACAAACAGTGCGGACAGCCGCGGCCAGACTCACCTTTAACTTTCTTTACTTTATTTCTCCAAAGTACAAGAACCTGTGTAAAAATACACAGTGCAAATGATCAAAGGGATTAAGGGACTAGGAAGCGCTTACGGAGACGCCCACACCTCCGGAGCCGCCCCGGCAGGCTAGTGGGGCGCCCCAGCCCCCGGCGAGCACCGCCTCAGCGTCCAGGGGTGGAGGCTCTGCCCTGAACACGAGGAGCTGCTTCCGCACGTGACTTGGCAGGCAGCAGGAGATGTGACGGGCAGGCAGGTTAACGCTCACGCCGCTGACCC